TATGCCGATCAGTTGGGGTGGTTTTGGGGGTACGCATATAAGGCATACATGGAGTGTCTGGGGCATGGAGTACCCTGTAGATGTGGCATTGCTCGACGAAAATCGCCCGAACTCATCAACAAAGCAACAAAAAAACTGCGGAGTCCAGGTACAAGCCAAAAAGGATCAAAAAGGTATACTACCAAGGAAGCGGGGGAATACGACATCATTCTCCAACCTCAAAACCCAGCTCTCCCCCCAAGAAAAAACACACCTCTCTTTCCGTTTCTTCGCGAAACAATGTAGACATTGTGTAGACCGTCTGCCCACCTGTTTGACTTCACCCGCCGCGAAAAAACCCACCACCTACCCCAGTACCGCCAACGGTCCCAGCACCCAAGCGCCGGTCGCGACCAACGCGGACGACGCAACGGGTCGGTCCCAAACCATGATGGAGTTATCTCCGGGACCTGATCCTGCGGTTCCGACCAAACGGAAATCGTCGACAGGCGGATCTGGTCAAGAGGGAGGAGAAGACCTTTTCCCAGACACGACGAATGGGATTGGCATAGATATTGGCCGATCTACATTGACCCCGACTTCAACCACCCCTGGCCGTTTCTATGGCAGTCCCGTGGGGTGTCTGGGTTTGGTTTTTCTTGGGCGTCTTTATAGATTTAGGCTTCCGAGAAGACCAAGGCACCACAAATATATGGTTTCCTATTGGTTGTGTGGTGAACACCCTGGGCAGCCCAATCGACCGTCTTTGAAACGAACACCTTGGGGTGACTTGCTGGAGGACAACGTGTGAACGTGGAAATACGTGGAAATACGTGGAACATCTCCAAAAAGGCAGCCTGACAGCTATGTTTCTCACACCCAGCGTAGCACTCTGTTTCCCACAGCCCAAGCGATTCCACAGCCCAAGGGCCATATGATTCTTGGCCTCCAACGCGTCGAACCCAAACACTCAGCCGCTTGGTTCCAGCTCAGCCCGTAGTCCCGGTCCAAACCGCGCCCCAAACACTGGGCGACCGGTTCGGGTCGGCCAGGCTGACCTTGTTTTTTGGGTAGTAACAAGGTGAAGCTACGCACGGGGCTCCTGGCATCGCGACCTCGAACGGAGCGTTTGTAAACGCGACCCGAACGGGGTGCTCGGACGCCTTACTACTACGTAAGAGCAAGGAACTAGTACGTAACAAGAAGCTGCTTCAACCAAGGATGTCTGATCTTGGGAATCAATAGAGGGATTCGGTGCCAGGTACCATACAATTGGGAAAAAGACCGGGGGTATCCCCTTCCCGTGAATCAACCACCCAATATACCCAATAGTACAAGGCCATCCCTCCCAGACCATCCATGGGAAGAGTTCGTAATACGTAAATGGGGTTAATGTATATTACCCTAAGGATCAGGACCCTCAGTTCGGTGACGGTGTGGTTCGGGTCCAAGGGCCCCAGGGTCAAAACCTGCAGGGTCAGGTCACCCTCCAGTTCGGTGGTCGGGTCCGTTCTGATCCTTAGGGCAGACACTCCAAGTAAAGAAATAGCCGCTTTCGAAGGTGAGAAGGTCGGCCAGAGGTGGCTGGTTGACTGGTGGTTGACATCGTCTGGTTTGGGCTTCAAGTTGTGACTCCACCAGCACCAGGACGTTTCGGCCACGGCACAGAACCCCCGTCCTGTGACCATCCGGCGCCCGGACCAATCCACGTCCCTGAGCCCGGCGGCGGGTGGCATGAGCAACCAACAACATCAAGAGACATCAACAGAATCCCATCAGTTGGCTGGATGCAGGCAATGCGCCAAGTTGCAAAGCCGAAAAAAAATTCAGAGACTGACTGGACCCCTGGACTGGTATAAAGTTTCTTTGTATGATGTGTTGTTTTTCTCTCCATTGGTTAGGGATCTCCCTGTGGAAATCCAAACCTGTGTTTCTGAGTTCTAAAAACTGAAGCAGCACACTCTACTCTAACTCCTCACATTTACGTTTCAAACATCCAAGTCTAGAGTCAACCATGAGTCACGTGACGTGGATGATGCTTAGCATGAACATGGGGATGGATTAGCCAAGCCGTGAAGACCTCAACCCTCTTGGTTTTCGTGCTTGTTTTCCTCAGATTTTTCGGGTCAACCACTTGAATACGTATACCTGATAGTGAAAGGGCACTTTGTCAGTTCTTTTTCCCATGCAAACATCCCCTAGGCAAAGCTAGGCTTCCTGAACCCATGCAGTGTCCTGAAGTCCTCCATAGGTTGAAGGAATGACAAAATACCAACTGCAGTGTCACACTTTCAGAGTATAGTACCTCCTGCCCACCATCTAAACCGTATACGTCTTGCTTTTCCCTCAAATGGGCTGAACTGCTTTGCTCAATTCGGCCAGTGCCGTACTCGTACACTCCGCCGGGGCTCCAGACATGCACCAAACACTGCCCGGATGTCCTCGGAACTTCTGCAAGGGCTCCGCCACCTGGATCCCGCGCAAGGGTCTCGCCCCGGTCGCCCGGGTCCCGGAGACGTGGGTCGATCATGGATCTACCCTGAGGTGGATCGAGCTCGGTTGCGATCTGCTTGAAGAAGCGGCAAAAAACATGTGTCCAAGGGGGATTCATCATATATGAGAAAGAATCACCCCAGCAGAAAACAGGATAAATACTAAATGTAATATATTATTTATTGATATCTATTGTATCTTCCGCAAAAATCAAACTGGTGCTATTGTGCAGGACCATGGTGCGATTATGTCTTAGATGGGTGGAATGGAAAGGATGCGAAGTTTGTGTCCGTCCCTGAGAGATCCCACATGATCCCAGGTATTTCGGTCACACTGTGTGTATGCCGTGAGCCGAGTTCGGCTCAGGTCCTGGTTTGACTTGTTACCTTGAACGTGCCTACCTTGAACGTGCCACCAAGTAGCTGGGTGTCTCGAAGCCATTTTTGGCACGTCTGGCACATTGCACTGCATCTTCCCCACCTTCCTCCCCTATAGAACCTGCACCACAAAGGTCGACCTCTCTTCCGCTTTGGAAAACCCCCCCCCCACCCGACATACCAAATCTCGATGTCCCCGCGTCTTTGGGATTCACCCGCGACACTCAGCGCTCCGTGTCCCTCCCTGCGACGGACCCGTGTCCTCCGACCGACCCCTCTGGTCGGTCGCCTGGAGATCCCAGAGGATGACGCTGCGATCCGCCGAGCAACTCATCCCTTGGAACCTGGCCCGGTCGGCGGTTCTGGGTCGCGGTTCCGCGGAACCGCGGTCTCCGATCCGGTTCGGACCCACCACGGTGGTGCGGGGCCGGGGTATGTCGATGACGTGGGGGTTTCTCAAAGTGGGGAGAGAGGCAAGGTCAGTGGGTCGCAATTTGGAGAGAATGCCAGCTGTAGACCCTGGCGACACCCCGACACGAACTCCCCAATGCTAAACAGCAACCCCAAACCGGAGGACTCACAGGTATCGAGAACCACAAGACCATGGCAACATGCTCCTCATCATGGCATGAAAACAAATAATTGAACTGCCATGGTGGGGATCACTCGAAGTAAAGAATTTATAGAGCTTGCCGTTGTGAAAATCTGGTCAAAACTTCATTTGAAAATACCTGAACTCTCCGTATTTACCTGAGAACCTGATTCTTGCTGTTGTTTTGGTTCGAGTGAACTCTCGCGTGATCTCGAATGGCCCAATCGAAGTATTCTACATGTAGCAATCAGCACAACACACATCAGCATCCCTGCAAAGATGCACTTATGTAGCATCCATTTCGATGATGTATGGTACCCCTACCCCCCAACAAAAAACACACAATTGGGCATGCAGCAGCACGTTTTTCCATCTGCCACTGCCTTCTGAGTCTAAGTCTGGACTGGATGGGCCCAGAGAAAGCTCTCTGCGCGCCAGAGATGGCTTTTTATTCTCGGCAGCAGTGACACACAAAAGAACCCAAATAGATCCTGAGATTCGTCACACCCCCGCAACACTACTTGCACCATTGCAATGGTCCTGCTCTAGTCCATTGTAACATGTGAAAAACCAGTACATATGCAGCACTGCAACAAGTACGGGGCCCCAAAGGTTTCCATCCCAGTAGGTTTCCAGCTGCTGAATCAGCACTCGTCATGGGATTCTGGCACTTGCGAACTCGTCATGTCCATCTCATGTGCTGAGTCACCTTTCGAACCCCAGTACCAAACCTGATGAGTCAGGAGTCACAAATGGACAAGCCCCTGAGGCACGTCCTGGTTCTGTGTCACCCGGAAACCGTGGGGAATGCGCCGGAAGCCGTCGCAGCCGGAAGCCGAGGTCTGAAGTGTCCGGAGCCTGGTGCAAAAGGTCTAAAGGTCTGATCCAGCATCTACATAGTCTACACCTAATTCTCCCAGCGGTGCAAACATTGAGCGTGTTCATCTACAGGGCAAAGATTTTGCACAGTTGGAAGGTCTAGTCTGAACCTTCCGATTGGGGGCAACGCCCATGGAAGGTACCAAGCTCCAATCGAACGTCTTGTTCCATCATGTTAGTCATGCAAAGGAGATTGTTCTACACGCCTCATTCTCTTTTTTGGCGCCAAGAAAACATCACAATCACCTTCGGTACAGAACTTGCCTCAGTTTTTCCATGATAAAACAAGTAGTCTTTCCGGTCAATCTTCTTGTAGATGTTCATGGTCCGGTCCGGGACGAAACATTAAACATGAACCCCTCACTGGCACGTTAACTATATCCCCGCTCCTCTTGAGGAACTATGGTCAGCTCAGGAATCCTTTTCTTCGTGCACCAGCTAGAGGCAGAAAAGGAAGTCAAAAACCTCTCCCTGAATGAGGAGAACACATCTCCAGAGTTGAGGGAGATGTTTGGAGAGCTGAGAAAAGGAAGTCAAAACACCTCTCCCTGAAGGCCTGAAGGAGATAACCTTTCCTTTTTGCTTTCCCAAAAAACATCTGTTTAGCGACCGGCGCCTGGCTAGCTTCGCCGAGGCCGGCACCGGAAAAGCTCGCTCCGTCCGGCTGCGAGGACATCGCTTCAGTTGAAGGCCAAGGTGTTCTCCGAGTTCGCCGACTTCTCCTCAGTCAGAGGGTCTGTTGTTCAGTACTTCAGAACACGTGATCTCCGGTGCTGATATATTGCCTGGATCACAATGAACATGAACGATGTTTCTTCTTGAAGGAAGGTTTAGTTGGTGACGAGTCGTGGAAAAACATGATGTCAACAGCGATATACAGTGTATAAAGGATGTATAAGAGATATATTGGGTTCTCCTTGGGTCTTCTTGGAAACATGCTTGGCAGTTCATGCCTCTCCCATCTGTAGGTGATTCCAGAATGACTTGCATACACTGAAGAACATGCAAATCGATGCAAATGACCCCCTCCATCCCCTTAAAGTCTATCAGGTAAATGATCCCAGGTCCGGTCCAATCCTGGAGAAATCCACCCTGTGACAACTGCCCCACCCCATCTTCACTGCTTCTGGCCTGGTGATGGCGATGTAACAAAGCAAGAGCGTCGGATGGATCACATCCAATTGCACCCCTTGGAACTACTAAGCAAGACCATAAAAACCATATATCGGAGGGTTCCATACGGTTCCATGAACACTTCCACTCACAGCCCGTGGCGCCCGTGGCTTAGGCCGAGTGGAGGTCCGGCCATCAAGTCCATGCACCTAGTTGGTCCGTGGTCATCCGGTCAACCAGTGGCAAACAACAAGTTCATCATTCCACTAGCCTGGAAGTCCTAGGACCGAGCACTAAGTAAGTCAACATAAGTCAACATTGGACCATGGACCGACGCTCGGCTAGTTACTAACTAGCTCCTGATGGTATTTCTGCGAGAGCTCCGCGTACCTGGCCGTGATCCGCGCCACCTGCGCCGATTGGTCGAAGGACGGGCCTAGGGGCCCTGCCGCTGGGCCGCTTGGGCTGATGGTGGGGTGAAAACAGGGATGAAACACCGTCTGGGTCGATCAGGTGATTCTGCGGGATGGCGTGGTGGTCAGTTGGGTCGGCCACTGTGAAGGATTCTGGTGGTTCCGAAGAGACCTCCATATGCAAGCTGGCGCGACGCGCTGGCGAGACAACTTCTGTTGAGCTTGGAGAAGAACAGATCGACATACGCATTGGGACTATAATATATGCAATATACTGGAAACAGGTTGAGCTTGTTCTGGACGACCAGGACCCTGCTGGACAAAGAGGGCAGGCCAATGCAGGCCACCTCTTATGTAGGAAGTCCTCGTATTCTCCCGAAACTGGAAGGCCACCCATGCCCATGTTGCTTGGTCAAAGGTGAGGTCATGGAAGTGCAGCGTAAAATCCCACCAAAGACTATACTGTGCTACCAACAGGCCAGTGAACTCCACTCAATGAGGGTCACGGGGAAAGCCACAGGAAGCCCTTGTTTTCACCACCAAAACAATCATAGGTCGACGTGGAACCTCAAAACCACTGGGTTGTAGAGGAAAAGGGTCGAAGCCAAGGGTCAATTCTCTTCCATTTGAGTCTGCGGGGGTAGATCTTCGGTTCATCATAGGTCAACATTCATCCAACAGTGCCACGTGACGTGCCAAGCCGTCTGACTTCGCTGACCCTTCAGCCCTTCTGTCGCAAGACGGGCGGCACCTGCTCCTTCAATGGAGCCCGTGCCTTCTCTGGCAAAGCTTCAATGAGATCCTTGGCAAGAAAGCGTGATAGGTACCAAAGGCCAAAATTAAAGAGGATGAACAAAGGCCAACAACATATTGCAGAGAAGGATTCACAACATAGGGAAAAATCCTCATCCGAACCGTGCATCAAGCTGAATCAAGCCAAGAAGTTGTGTCCAGCTGGTCCAAAAGGTCCCTTGGCTACACCTCTTTCCCGGTTCACTCAAAACCATCGATCTGCTTTCATCGAGGGGTCACTTTCTCCCGTCCCCAAACGGTCCGCGTCGCAACGTCAACGTATCGTCTGAAGCCGCGGGGGCGGAATCCGGGCCACACTGCGAAGACGAATCCAGGCCACGTGCACTGGATGAATTCCACGAAGACGCATCCCAATTTTTCACACCTATAGGGTATTCCAGCCATCCATGAATCCAATAATTCCACTCTGCAATGTCAGATCTCAGTCTTTGGAATGAGACTTGGGATCGAGCCTCCGTGATCGAAACAACCAAGAAATTCCCCAGCGCCGTACCTGTGTTCTTTCCTGTTCGGGTCATGTGCCATGTAAGGTACGACCGAAACTCCTAGGGTCCTTATACCTGAATACTGGCTGTTTACACCGAAATCTTCCTGGCTGTGGCTGAACGCCAAGGCACTGGGATGCCTGCGGAGGCGCAGAACTTGTTGCAAGCCTCGCGGAAGATCTGCTTGGATTCGGATGACGTTTGGGCACGCTTGGTTGCGATTTGAAGGCATTTTTGGTCCCATCTGCCACTGCTTCAGCTGCCCCACTTTTCCCCTCCTCCGTGTGGACCACCCACCCCACCCCTGACCGGCATGTCACCGCGGCGAGGCTTCGGGCGGCGCTCCGCGCTGAGCCCCTGAGCCTGGTACCGCTCCACTGCCCAAAGCTCGTGCATAATCTGCAGATCGTGCGGGATCCCTTGATCTCCTTGGGCGTCGACGTCGGCGGAGGAGCGGTACCAGAGCGGACCTTGCCCGCCAACCCCACACCCCGGAGCAGACGATGAGATCTGCCAACGAGTTGCTCAAATAGGAGTGACGAAAAGGCACTCACATGTACCTACAGGGGCCGGTTCTTGTATATTGGATGCATTGGAGTGCTTGGGACCATTGTCTTATAGGTATATGAATTCGCACCTGAAACATGTCTTTTCACGTGTTTGGGAGATCGTCTCTTCCGGTGATGTATTCCCAGCACCCATGCGACTGATCGATCTGCGCTAGCTTGAGATGTTGCGACCGATATAAAGGCGATGAAGGCGACCTCTTAAGATGAGCATCAAATATCCACTTCGTCACCCGGATGGTCCAGAGATTGGTGTCTACGCACCGAACAGATGGTCTGCTGGGAGGCTTTCCTCCGAGAAACGGAGGCTTTCCGACCGATGAGGCTCGAGCTCTGCTCCGGAGCCTCACCATTCGGTGGCATCTTCACCGCTCGTCACTCTCAGAGGACCCTCTGAAGTCATATATAGAGGCGGGACCCGAACCAATCACTCGAGGTTTTTGAGAGGACCGGGACTTCCGGGCTGTTTATTTTTCAGTGGAAACAGGGCGACCTCCACCTACGTGCCCGGACTTCCAAAACAGGGCCCGGCCCAGTCAACTCGCCAAGGAGGGCGGGACGGCGACAGTCGACTCGCGCCAAGCCACTGGTGGATTCATAGGGAAACAGGTAGATGATCCTTGTCGCGCTTCAGACGGTCGCCACGTCGACCGGGTCCGCGGCTCCGCGAGCAGCGGACGAGTCTTCCACGGAAATCCGCCGGAAATCTGGGTTTGATAGAAGAATCGTTGAGCCGTAGGTCCTTGTAGCCAGTAACCATCCGACCATTTCAGCCCCAAAAAATACAAGGTCTCCCTTCAAAATCCTAGCAATCGTGGCTTGGACAGACTCTTGATTGATAATCACTCCATTTGGATTGAACACACTCTTGAAGAGGTTGTCTTTGTATTATGTACATGGTGATTTCGAGAGTCTACAGTAAAGCTTCACAGTTCACTTTCCACCTGATCCATCTCTCACGTTACAACAGGGTGACACACAAAAACCTCTCATGGTCATCATTGCAATGCAACACCACAAAGCCTAAATTTTGCGGTGATCCACTGACCAAGAGACTTTGAGAGACCTGAACTAGGATCCGTAGGACCAGTGGTACATATGACATATGGGATAGGCTGGTGCGCTGTGGTTATATGGGATAGGCTGGTGCCCTGCGGTCCTCGCCCGGCGCTCTGCTCCAATCCCATCTTCCGGCAAGGTACTTCTTGTATCCGGCCCAAACGATGGCGGAAACACACATGCAGCATGGCTCGTGTGTGCTCAGGAAGAGGCTCTCCTGACAGAAGAATTGAATGGCGTTTAATGTCTGCATGGAATAATCAGTAGCCTAGGTCAAGGAGAATGGAAGCAGCTGTTCTTCAGTTTTTTTGGGGGTACGTATTAGCCCATGACCACTGATGAACGAGGTTCGGAAGGTTGGCCTAGTCACACAAATGAAGATCTTCTTAGTATCTTCTACTGACAGAAGCTGGAAATGCAACAAGAACCCTAATACGAAAATCCAAAACTACTCTCCCACCCACGAACATGCAAGTGGAGATAAGTGGAGTTCACTCCCATAATTAACGAACATACACCTTTTCTTGATTCGCAACAACAGGAGGTTCTCCTGCGCCTATTTTTAAACATAAGAACCGAAATCCTGGGCAAATCTTCGATCATCCAGCGGAGGTTGAAGAACCCTGGTTCAACTATCCGAACGTTGGGTACCCCTGGTGACGGGTCCGAACGTTCAGGTCACTGGCTACCTCTGGTTCGGATCGTTTCGACGACGGTTCTTCAGATCTGGAGCCACTGAAGAGTGGCACAGGCTTGCCACGCCGCAGATAACTGTCCTCAGGCTTGCCACGCTGCTCAGGCGGCAGATCACTGAGCTTCTTGATGGTGTACACCTCGCCATGGTACCTGCTTTAAAACCAAACTCAGCTTGCTATGCTCACTTCTGCAAAGGAAACAATGAATTAATGAACATCATTGAACATCAAGGTATTTCAGATTATTGCAGTGTCGCGTTTACATCTCTGAGTCAGTTTCATCTAAAACATCCAAAGCGCAGCTGCACCTTCCTCTCTTTTGCTGGCGTGTTCGAAGAAGTCTTGTCACAGAAAAATACAAACGCAATCATGCCACATGACGATGTCATTTGATGCACCAACTCCGATGAAATTCCATGACATTGGGTCTCTATAGAAGGGTCTTCCCCGCAAGTCTGACCCACTCGGAAGACCCTGTAGACACCGGTCTTCCGACTTTGGAGACCCAAAGTGGAAGGCCATGCCCACGTGAGACCATGTCATTACTTCCAGAGAGAGTACTTCCAGAGAGAGTACTGTAGGAGTACTGTAGGTCCTGTCTAGGTCCTGTAGGTACTGAAGTTGAAACCAAAAACGTGTCCGATGACGGACAACTCGTGGTCAACCATCTCAACGTCCTCCGGTCTCGGCACCCAACACTTGCGCGGCGAGGCCACGTTGGAATTCTCGCGCCGAACGCCGTGACGCGGCGTCTCGCGGGGGCACAGGGGACAAAGGATCTCGTGGTTCGTCTCAGCGATGAGGGTGGGATAGCCCTCCACATCGCCTAGGTACACTCCATGTCTGTTATATGCTCAATTGACCCCTCTGGCACCACCCCTGGCCTGATCGGCAAAGATGCCGAATACTGAAGTCGTTGGACTGGGGGGGGAGGCACCGGCGAGGGCGCGCGTTCAGCACAGAGGCTAAAGAGCTTGAGCTGGTCCGTTCGTGCCGGGGGAGGTGCAGTGACTCGGTTTGGGGTTCCGTGCAAATCCCAAACAATCCCCAGACACTCCATGTATGGCATATTTACATACATTGACCCCTAAAACCACCCCAATGGGGTGGTAAATATGCCAGTCCCATGGAGTGTTTGGGATCCATTTGGCTGGACTATGCCTACAGTGACCCACACCGTCACACCTTCCCAGATCATCCATGGGACTGGCATATTTACCACCCCATTGGGGTGGTTTCAGGGTCAATGTATGTAAATATGCCATACATGGATGGTGTGGGCATATATATTGGTAAATTAATCTGGGAATTCTATTTGGACACGGCCGGTTTCCAATATTCTCAACAGATTCCCTCGCAAATCAGGCTGCCATGTTCATTCTCCATGAGGCGTCTAAGAACTCAAGCCAACAGCTTCAACAAAGTCAAAGTTTGAACATGTTTGAACCTAGTTGACCGGTTGACCCAGTTTTTATAGAAAAAGGACTAGGAAAAGGTCACATTTTGGATGTCTAAACAAGAGGTGGTTCTGTTTCTTTCTTTTTAGTCGATGTTCTTCCTTTCCTCCTTCAGCCAATCCGGGGCCACCATCCCCTTTCCAGCTACATCCCGAAGGTAGATGTGATCGACCAAACATCCGGGCTCCGTGCCACCTTTCAGGCACCCACAGATCAATCGATCAGAAGTGGTGCTTTTCACGATGGATCACCCTCAGCCATTGGGTTGAACATCCAACGGCTTCATATCCAATGGCTTGAACAGCTTGAAGATGCTAAGCCCATGCTTCACCAACCAAATAACATGTACCAGGAGTCACATGGAGTTGGGTGTTTTGCTTTCCCAAACGTGAATGGACATGCACCATGGGCATCCCGACTTCCGAACGGTTTGGAACCGGCACCCCAGAACCGGCACCTGGATAGACCGGCACCTGGATAGTGGTTTATCGGGTTGATCGATCAGTCCTTCCGACGAGTGACAATTCACGTGATGCGGTGACGTACAGGTTCATAACAAAAATCATGCGTAGGCCATCAGATTATGAAAAACCCACTGCATCCTTCCACCGCATAGAATCAATTCCTCTCGCAAGAAAGAGAACAAGAACCTCCCAGAGGAATGATGTTCAATCCATCCATGTATAGAATAGTGATCATACATTTAATTACCTTCATTTATGGTCCATCCATCTATCTATTCCAGTCCCATTTTGTCTGCTCTAAAAGAAAAACTCTTCGAGCACCAAAAACCGCCACCGCGGCTGAGCTACGCAGCACCGCGGCGCCAAAGACTTTGTTGCCCTCCTTCACCCCCTGCGCCGTCTTCGGCAAGACCTCGCCGCCACGAGCGGCGCGGTGACGCGGCGGGGTGAAGAACTGTGGGAGTCCGAATTCCTGACTCCCCAGCTGCTCTGGGGAATGATCCACTCAAACACTCCATGGGACTGCCCTACATGCCTATATTGAACCCCCCAAAACCCACCACCCCTCAACTGATCAAGTCTGGGCAGTCCCAGACAGGTCCGTGTCCGGGAATCCGTGATTCCAAAGAGGTGAAAAGGGACTGATCACCCAACTGTTCGACCGAACAAATCATTCTGAAGGAAGAGTCTTGTTGCGAATGGGACGAGCATATGGGAATTCGCATCCTTTAGCAACACCCAGCCAGGGTGTTGCTTTAGCAGATGCGAATTCCCATATGCTCGTACCACCAGGCTCCCTGGCTGTGTTTCGGTGTTCTGTTTCGAGCTGATCGTTGTTCATTCTTTTCGTTGTTGATCACACCGCACCAAAGACACACACCTCGAACTCCTACAAGCGGTTGAGAGGTTTTAGGGGGAAATCCGGAACCCGGAACCCGGGACCCGGTGGTGCACATGGCATGGGCCCAGCACAAGGGTTCAACCTGTCTGAGGCGCAACCCGAGCGAACGGAGGGTCCAGTGACCTCAGGTCAAGCCTTTGGGGTCAAAGAACATGCATTCGGAATCTCTGAGGGCATCATGTCAGTGTGCACGGGATAAAGCAACTGACCAAGCTGCCGAACTCTGCTGACCAAGCTGTGCGAATCGATGACCCAGTCCAAGAACGTGCATCGATAAACTAATGTATAGACTCTTGATTAACAACCCGCTCCATTTGAATTGAACAACCTCTTCACATGAGAGGTTTATTAATCAAGAGTCTATATTATATAGATATAGACACTGACTCATGCACCACGAGGCTGCGCGTCTATAGCTGGTCCATGGCTTCCTTGAGATGACCTCCCCATCTTCGCCCCGGCCACTCTTCCCGACGTGACTCGACTGGCCTCTGACTCGATGACCTCCAGGAGCCGCGCCAACTGCTGGGCGTCTGCCGTGGGCGTCGGCAGCGGCGCGCAGCTGCGCGGCACTTTGGAACTGTCTTTGGCGTCGTGGTCGGCGGAAGGGCGCTTCATGGCGGTCAAAACAAAAAAAATTGTGTGTTTTTTAAATTCTGTAAACGTTTTAGTGATATTCACTGATGGAAAACAACTTGTTCAACAGCTACAGGCCTTTGGCTCGTTCTATCTCCATTAAAACATCGAAAAACACATTCTTGGGATTTGACAATTCCATGGTACACTTCTTCGACTGAGTAAAACAGCTTGGATTTTGATGCACGAAATCTTGGCTACCTTGGTTTTTTGAGATGCAAAAACTTCAATGCAGCTGACGTTCTGCAGGCTACGCAACATCAAATTCCTGCTGGCACCCTGCTTCAGTGAACTCCAAGACAAGTTGAACAGCCATATAACCCATCCCATGTGTACCACTACGGGTTCCGTCTCACGTCTCTAAACCTCTCAGAAATCGCTTCCCCAACTCCATGGGACTTAGTGGGCCCCTCATTCGACACACCGGAAATCTCCAGCTGGTGATTCATTTTGCCAGGACAAAAAGACCTCAGATGTGAAGACCCCCGTTACTCCGATTCATGTGTGCCGATTCAAGCAGACGGAAAACATTGAAAATGGGTGCCTCAACTTGGAGCGCCAGCAGTTCTTCAACTCCAGCTGGCCGCTTTGGTCCCCAGAATCAGACGTCAAAGACTGGGATGTGGGGACGATACGAAGAGTTCCTTCCTTTCAGCTGAAGAAAAAACGCAAGTCAAAAACATGAACATTCAGCCATGAATCGGCATGAGTTCTCTAGCGCCACCTTTGAAAACACTTATATAGACAGGTCAAACAGGACCTGCAAACTCCGGTTTGCACACTGAAAACTTCTTAGGCCCCACCTTGTTATTTTGTACTTCAAAGGATGAAAAAAAAAGCGGTGAACGCGGGCATTTCGACTAGTAACAAGTGCATCGCTACACAAGCGCATTACTAGTAACAAAAAAGGCAGAAAGACCGTCAGATTGCAACCATTCAGGCGGGATGTTATTCTCCACTCCCCAAGGCCGTCTTGCAACTTGTATGGTGTGACTTGGCCGCTTGCTGTTTCAGCCACACCCCAAGCGCCACAGAAAAGACCGGGTTGATGCCCAGCTGGTGAGGTGTTCCAACCGCGGACAACCCATCCAAAGCTTCTT